AAAAAAAAAAAAAAAGATTTCTGCCTACACATCACGCACGCACAACACAAGAAACTCCATTCACCCAATTTGCAAAAACCTATCTCCTGCTTTCTCAAGCCGAGTGCCCGACCCCAGATTTTCAAATTGGTTGCATAGGCCACTTAACTCTCATCTTCCATCTCCGATTCTTCAGGTGAATCCGTCTTCTCGTGATCGTGAATCGAAAGATAAAAAATCTTCTCAAGGACGGCTAACGAGTGACAGGCCTGACAGCTCACGGCTTGAATGGTTTGAATTTGATCAAGATTTCTTTGGATAAAACTAATGTAAGTGTTTTAGTTTTTTTTTTTTCTTTTTTTCATATTGCGCAGGCTAATAAAAATTTCTGTATCCGCCACTGATTATAATTATTATTTTGGTGGACGGGTGAAATAATATATATATATATGTATATGTATAGGGATTGGATCCAATGAGTCCACATATTTAAAGTGTGCATGTGAGACTCATTCCTAGCCACTAGATTGGTACATGGTGTGTGGCCAAGATTTAACTCTTCATTTAAATAATAATTTTTTATTTTTATTACTTAATTCTTTATTTTTATTATTTTAATTATTTAAATATTATTTTGACAATTGACCATTGACTTCGGCGTTGACCGTTGACTCCGACGTGGACCATTGACTCCGGCGTTGACCGTTGACTTCCGGCGAATATCGTTGACTTCCGACGTTGACTCCGGTGTTGATCATTGACTTTCGTCGTTGACCCGTTGACCGATAGTATGCATTATGTATGAAGTAATATGCATATATTACTATGCACTTAATATGAACTAAATATGCATAAGATATGAATTATATATGTCATCCTTATGAACTAAATATGCACCAATAATATCAACTACTAGTACAACACCCGTGTATTATACGGGTGCTTGCTATTTTTTTTTTTTAATTTAAAATCAATGAGAAAAGTAGTTGAAAATTTAAATAATTTTTATAAGAAAATATATAATATTATATATTTTAGTATGCCACTTGTTATTTGTGCGACTTACATGTGTTATATTATGACAATTTTTTTAACTTATAACATATAAATACATTAAATATAAATATATTAATTGAAAAATAATTTTATATTTTAATTAAATTTAATAAATAATTTTATTATTATTATAAAGATATATATAAATTATTTATTTTATATATACAATGTGGATGTCAAATCGAAGCTCATCAAAAGTCGATTAATTTGGTATATTATATATGTAAAATCGATAAGAAATACAAAAGTTATCAACTTTTAAAATATATTTACAATTCAATAGTTATAGTAAGAAATGATATTAAAATACAATTACTACATATAAAATGATCATAAATAAATCAACATATTTATGGTAATCCGAACTTAATTATTTTTGAATTAAAATTAAATTAAAATTTATCTCAGTGTTTTAAATACCATACCGGTGGCCATACCGGTCTAGCCACCGGTACGCGGTATTACCGGTCGGACCGGTAATATCGGCGGTATTACCGGATTAGCAAATATAATGATATATATAAATATACATAAAAAATATAATGCCAAATGCAAAAAAGTAAAAATATAAATGACCATAATCATTAATTTCAACTTCTCAATAAGATGAAAATAAAATATTTTAACTACCAATTTAAATTTTATTATTTTAAATTAAAAAAAAAATTATTTTTATTTTATTTTTTTTATTGGCCGGTATTTTATACCGGTATTTTGCGGTTTTACGGTATGATCCCGGTACAAACCGGTATAACCGTAAATCCGGTATTTTGAGTGTAATTGTACCGTACCAATGGCCGGTATCCGGTATTACTGGCCGGTACGGTACGGGTATTTAAAACATTGATTTATCTAACCCAAACAATGAAGCATGAAATTTTGACACATAGGATCCCGAAGCATGCGAGTCTGTCACTTAGGCTCAGCACATTGGGGAATTATATATAGAAGGGATGATATGTGTTACTTATGACTTACATGTGTTATATTATATTAGTTTTTATAACTTATATCATATAACTACTTGAAATATAAATATATTAGTTGATAAATAATTTTATTTTCTAATTAATATTAAAAATAATTTTATTATTGTTATAAAGATAAATATAAATTATTTTTTTTTATACATACAATATGGATGTTAAACCGAAGCTCATTAAAAGAATATTAATTTGATATATTACATATGTAAAACTGATAAAAAATACATAAGTTATTAACTTTTAAAATATATATACAATTCAATAGTTATAATAAGGAATGATATTAAAATGCAATTAATACATGTAACATGATCATAAATAATCAACATATTTATGGTAATCCGAACCTAATTATTTTTTGTTTGGAATTAAATAAAAATTTACCCAAACCTAATAACGAAGCATGTAATTTTGCCACATAGGATTCCGAAGCCCCAGAAGCAGCCACGTAGGCTCAGCGCGTTCTGAATTAATATATAGGGGGATGTATGCACTGTTTATATACCAAATATGCACATTTACTAAATATGCATCAGGAATGAACTAAATATGCAATGAAATTATGCAATAAAATATATATTTTATACAATTAAATTAAATATAATAATTAATGATTTTTATTATATAATTAATTTTAATTTTAACTTGATTAATAACACAAATAAATTGTTATGATTGGATCTCAAATAAAATAGGTATGCACTGTTAATGAACTAAATACGAATTTCATAAGAACTAAACATGTATCATGAATTAACAAAATATGCATCATAAATTAACTATATAAACATCATTATATATTTAATTTAAATATAACAAGTATGCATTTCGTATTAACTAAATATGCATCATAAATTACCTAAATATGCATAATAAATTAACTAAATATGCATCATAAATTACCTATATAAAATATACATTTTATTGCATATTTTTCGCTGCATATTTAGTTCATTCATGATGCATATTTAGTTCATAACAAATGGATATTTAGATAATAACACGTGCATGTTTAGTATAGAAATGATGGGCAAAGGATAACCGAGTTACCCGACTCGGGTCGATCTCGAGGGAAGGCTATTCGGAGCTTCGTCTACTAAATGATCGTCCAAATCACAAAAATCAAAAATAAAAT